AAGGCCGGGTCTCGGTGATGGTGATGGCCGGGTCTCGGTGATGGTGAATACTGGATTTTGGTGATTGTGAATACCGGGTCTCAGTGATTGTGAATACCAGGCCTCGGTGATGGTGAATACCGGGTCTCGGTGATGGTGAATGCTGGGTGTCAGTGAACCTATCTGGTTCTTTAGGGAAGGAAACTGCCATCCTTTCCTGGTCTGGCCTCCATGTGACTCCAGACCCAAAGTGATGTGGTTGACTCTTAACTGCCCTCTGAGAGTGGTCCAGCAAACCACTCAGTTCAAGGGCAGTTAGGGACAGGCAGCAAATACTGGCCTTGCTAGTGACGCCCATGTCCCATGAAGGAATTATTAAAAAATATATCCGTAAAATTCAGTATTCAACTCAATCAACTTTCTAATCATGAAGGAATCCAAGCCAAGTCTAATGCCTCTGGCCAGCTCAGTCGATAGATAGAGCATGAGAGCCATGACCTTGTGGGGCCTATCAAGCTGCACACTGGGTTTTTTTTCTTTCTTTACTTATTCACAGGATGAGGGCATCGCTGGCTAGGCAGCATTTATTGTCCATCCCTAATTGCCCAGAGGGCAGTTAAGATTCAACCACATTGCTGTGGGTCTGGAGTCACATGTAGACCAGACCAGGTAAGGATGGCAGTTTCCTTCCCTAAAGGGCATTAGTGAACCAGATGGGTTTTTCTGACAATTGACAAAGGATTCACGGTCAGATTCTTAATTTCAGATATTTATTGAATTGTGATGCTGTTTTTCCTTCGTGAGGCCCTTGTGTTGCAGTGGTAGCGACCCTACCTCAAGCCCCACCTTCCCCAGAGGTGTCTATTAACATGCCAGAACAGGTTGGGTCAAAATATCTACAGGCCATGTTTCTGTATTTGTTGGCCCCCACTTAGCACAGAATGGTGGAATTATTCCAGCAGGAGGCCATTTGGCCCGTCAGGCATCAGTGACTTCATTAAGATAGCGGTGCAGTAGGTCTCGTGAGCTGGGGCTTGTCTGCTCCAATCGTTTTCTTTTCTTTCTCCCTTTTCTCTTCTTGTTTCTCTTCTCTTTTCCTTTACTTACCTCTTGTCCTGAGCTTGGATGGCACCGAGAATGGTGAGAGATCCCAGCACAGACTGGGGGCGAGCCTGGCACGGACCACATGACGGCGATGAGCGAGCCCTCATCTACTTTACCGGGGCGAGCGTGGGACCTGGCATTGGAATTGGGGGCTTGCTGCATCGGCGGAGGGCGACATTGGCAAGGTAGGCCGGACGGAGTAAGATGGCGCCTGAGGATCGGCAGCTTTAACGTTGGTTGGGCCTAGCGTAGACGGTGGAGGAGGGATGGCAACGCAGGTGTTGGTGAGGATGAGCCGGCTCAGGACTGACGGATGCTAGATCTTTCTGTTTCTTCCTTATTCTTAAATTACTCAAAATGTTAGCCGGACAGTGGAAAATCTTTTCACCGTATTTTGCTGTTTATCTCACTGAAAAATAAACCCGACAATAAAATCCTTCATATTCATTGTGCCCGTAGCAGTTTGTTAAATGAACATCACTACCTTGTGCCAACCTCCTGCCCTTCCCCTGTATTTCTGCACATTATTTTTACCCAAATAAACCACCTGGAATGCCTCAGCTGAACCTTCCTCCCCGACATTTCCGAGCAGCGCATTCCAAGCCCCAACCACTCATTGCTGAGTGAGAATACACTTTTTCTCACTTCACCCTCACTTCTCTAGCGGGTCACATTAAATCTAAGCTCCCTGGTACTCGCTCCTTTTACCATCACGAGCAGTTCCACCCCAATCCAACCCGGTCGTGGTTTTGAAAACCTTGTCTCTCTTCAGAGAGATAGTAAGAACGGCCGATGCTGGAGTCAGAGATAACACAGCGTGGAGCTGGATGAACACAGCAGGCCAGGCAGCATCAGGGGAGCAGGAATGTTGACGTTTCGGGTCAGGACCCTTCTTCAGAAATGGCAGGTATAGATAGTTGAAACACTGCCGCAAGTCTGTGCTCCAGTGAGTTTGAACATCGTGCCAATATCGATAAGTACAGCTGCGCCATTTCTGAAGAAGGGTCCCGACCGGAAACATCAGCTTTCCTGCTCCTCTGATGCTGCCTGGCCCACTGTGATCCTCCAGCTCCACACTGTGTTACCTCTTCAGAGAGAGTTGTCTAATATTTCAACATGGGTTTCGAATGTCGAAATGGTCGGTGCGGCTCAATATGTTTCACTCGATCCCTCCTCCTGATGGCATCAATTTAAGGGCAGCATGGTGGCTCAGCGGTTAGCACTGCTGCCTCACAGCACCAGGGACCTGGGTTCGATTCCACCCTTGGGTGACTGTCTGTGTGGAGTTTGCACATTCTCCCCGTGTCTGTGTGGGTTTGCTCTGGGTGCTCTGGTTTCCTCCCACAGTCCAAAGATGTGTAGGCTAGGTGGATAGGCCATGGGAAATTACCTATAGTGTCTAGGGATGTGCAGGCTGGGGGGGTTAGCCATGGTTATGGGGGTAGGGTGGGATGGTCTTTAGAGGGTCAGTGCAGGCTGAATGGCCTCTCCCTGTGCCATAGCAGTTCTATGATTCTTCTTTCTCATGGTTGTAGCTTTCTCTCCCCTCACAGGAAAATGATGGAGCTCTGTTGTTCGGTCGAAAATACCTTAGCAAAGGTCCTTATTGAACACGAACTTCAAGTGGAGAAAGAAGTCCTGGACCCGCTATATAAACTCTCAGAGGTGAGGAGATCGACAGGGAGGCTCAGTAAGTGCCCATTGTAAAGCAGGGTATCTAACATGTAGCAAAGAGCGGTGTTCTGAGAGGTTCCTGAATGATTTAGTGTCAGCCACAGACATCTATTTATATCAGGCCTGCTTGCAGTCACTATCTGGAACTATTTTAATTCATCTTCCTGTTTTTAAAACCAGAACTTGTGAAGTCCAACACTTCCGTTTACAAATAGGATCATCAGTGACTCGTCTAAAAACCCCACTGCACAGAAGCTGCAGTGATAAATCTCAGGATTCTGTTCCCTGTGAATGTGATGGTTATTATCAGGCACGTAGTCACTGTGTGCCAAGGGGAGGTTGATGCGGTCACTGTGTGCCAAGGAGAGGGGTCTATGGTCACTGTGTACCAAGGGGAGGGCAATGTGGTCACTCTGTACCAAGGGGAGGTTGATATGGTCACTGTGTGCCAGGGAGGGGGGTCTATGGTCACTGTGTACCAAGGAGAGGGGTTTGGGAGAGGGGGCTATGGTCACTGTGTACCAAGGAAAGGGAATTGTTGTCACTCTGTACCAAGTGGAGGGCGATGTGGTCACGGTGTGCCAAGGGGAGGGGTTCATGGTCACACTATGCCAAGGGGAGGGACTTGTGATCACTGTATGCCAAGGGGTGGAGTGTGTGTGGTCATTCTTTGCCAAGGGGAGGGGGCTGTCATCACACTATGCCAATGGGAGAGAGTTGGGGTCACTCTATGCCAAGGGGAGGGGTTTGTGGTCACTATGCCAAGGGGACGGACTGTGTTCACTCTGTGCCAATGGGAGGGAGCTGTGATCACTGTTTAGCATGAATGAGCTGTGTGTTGATGGCATGGATCTATAGACATTACCTCTCAAGGAAAGGGTGATGGTGAGTGGGACATAGTGTGGAGGATGAATGGGATGGGATCGCAGGCAGGTATACGTGCACAGCTCTCTCTGACAACTGGGACTGGAGGCAAGGTGATTTTCCACTCAGTTTGAAAATGAGCTGCAGTTCTCAGGCCTAAGCAGCTTTCTGATTTGTAATGGTGTCCAAAAATAGGCCTGGGAGCAGGTCGAGTTGCAGTCTGTGTCTGTGGTTAGGCTGTGGGTGTTCGCACAAATCCAGGAAGGAGTACTGCAAACAAGTGGGGTGGGGGAGCGGGGGCTCAAAAACATCTTTATATAGAGCCTTTAGTTTCCATCAACCTTCCCATCGTGCTCGACAGGAAGTGAGTAAAATTGACACTTAGCCTCAACAAAGGGTCGTTGGAGAACGGAGAAAGAACCTGGTCTAGGGAGGAGGTTGAAGGAGAGCCTTTAAGGAGGAGGGAGCCATTTAGCAAGAGAATTCCAGAGCTTGGGATCCAAGCTCCTGAATTCATTAATCATCAAAGGTGAACCAGAAATTCTAACATCGTCAGCAGGGAAGGACAAGATTAAGTTTGATCAAGAGCAGTGAAATAAGGGAAGGCAGTGGCCTAGTGGTATTATCGATGGACTGTTAATGCAGAGACCCAGGTAACGTTCTGGGGACCTGAGTTTGAATCCCGCCACGGCAGATGGTGGAATTTCAATTCAATAAAAATAATCTGGAATTAAGAATCTAGTGATGGCCATGAATCTATTGCAGATTGTCAGAAAAAACCCATCTGGTTCACTAATGTCCTTTAGGGAAGGAAACTGCCATCCTTACCTGGTCTGGCCTACACGTGACTCCAGACCCACAGCAATGTGGTTGACTCCTAAGTGCCCTCTGGGCAATTAGGGATGGGCAATAAATGCTGCCTAGTCAGAACCGCCCACATCTTGTAAATGAATTTAAAAAAATTCCCAATGATTCAATGTGGTTTTATCCCAATGCTCAGTCTCTAAACTTCCAGCAGATACAATCAGGAGAATCGACAGGAAATGCCTCCCCTGATGGTTGAGAAATTGAGATGGCCAGAGATTGGCATGTGGCTGGAGAACAGATCCTGAGTGAGGGCCAGAGGAACTAACTCAACACAACTGCACCACTTCCTGTACATTTCCCAACAGAGAGTGACCTACTTTACTTAAAATAAAACTTTCTTTACAAACAGGAGGAACTTCCAAATATTCTCAAACACAAGAAGCAGTTGGCCAAACTGACGCTGGATTGGACGGCTGCCAAGAACCGGTAAAAATACAACATTTACCAACTCATTGTACAGCGGGTCACACTCACACACACTCACACACACTCACACACACATACTCACAGACACATACTCACAGACACACACTCACACTCACACTCACACACACTCACACTCACTCACACATACTCACAGACACACATTCACACTCACACACACTCACACACACTCACACACACTCACACACACTCACACACACTCACACACACACACACACACTCACACACTCACACACACACTCACACACACACATACTCACTCACACACTCATACTCACAGACACACACTCACACGCATTCACACACACACATACGCACATGCGTACACACACACACACATGCACACACACACACACTCAAACGTGTGCAAACACACACACTCACACACACACGCACTCACGCACACACATGCGCACACACACGCACATGCGCACACTGAGACAGCGGTTAGTGACAGTGATATTCCAACAGTCCGCACAGGCACACATCAAAACTTACATGGACACAGCTGTTTTCAAAATAAGAGGTAACACAGTGTGG